CAAATTAATAGTTTTTTAAATATTTTATTGTTTTTAACCGAGATAGACATGCTTTGGACCAATCGGGGGGTTCAGGGGGGCCTGCCCCACTGGGGTAAAAGAAAATCTGGGGGGTTTTACCCATAATTTGATATTTTACAGTTAGATTTGAAATTGTCTTGAAAATAATTGATTTGCGACAGTTTTAGTGGCTTTATGTATGATCTGCAGCAAACAGTACTGCAGTTTGACCCCGAAACAGTGCATCTGTGTGCGGGAGTGAAAGTAAATATTTACCGAGGATTTTATGGGGAAAAGTTGATCAATTAAAGGCGCATAAAAGGAAATTTTCCATCTCCAAGGACTCTTAAGCTATGGAAGTTACAAAACAATGGCGGCCATTTTCTCGCTAATTTTACACCAGACATCAAGCGATCCGGGGTATTTACCTTTTTATCGAAAGCAGGATTAATAAATTAGACCAATGTCTCCATATAATATGTTATAATATACATTATAAAATGTCCAAAAATTGACGAGCGTCTGTTTCCACCGCGTCATGACGCAAGGAAGACTGTCCCCGTGGTTTTATGCACCCGCATAATTTAGCAAAATTTGATTATTTATGTATAATTTCGGATTATTTTCCTTAATCATTATTTGTTAAAATTAACAGAATTGCTTAATTTAACATTTTTGGGCTCAGTTTTTTTTGTTGTTGCTTAAAACCGCGGGACAGGTAAAATATCTCTCCCCCCTCCCCTCCCTTCCCTCCTCTACACACACAAATGCCCACGTGGGTGGGAATCTTACGGATAGAATTTGGGCGTTCGTCGTTGATCGTTCGTCATCACACCATGAGACGGGCAAGGGGGGGGGGAGATAGATAGTAATAGATAGATAGATAGATAGATAGATAGATAGATAGATAGATAGATAAATAGATAGATAGATAGATAGATAGAGACTGACAGAGACAGAGAGAGGATAAAGAGACAAAGAAAGAAAGACATATTATAAATATGTATACTCAATAAAATACAAACTGCATGTGGGCATCTAACATGTAAAATTTGAGTATCCACCATTTTTCCTTCGTCATCATACCATAAAACACAATATACAAACAACCACGCTTGAAAGAAACATCAACTCACCTTGTCGTTGCAGATCTTGGTTTCGCTGTATCCACACACTTTTTCAACTTTTGGAGTTGGTCACAATTTTTATTAAACAGACACCTCCATCAAAATCCTCAACAGTCGTGGGTCAACAAAATGTAACACCAGAAACAAGACAAAATCCACAAGCGAAAACTAAAGAGAGAACTGAAAAACACACAGATCTATCTTGTAGATTATTACACCACTAGTACATTATCATAATATCCAAAAAGATTTAAGAAAATTTTGTTGGAAACCAACTGTACTCCTCAAAGGATTTGGACCAAATGATGACGAAGTTTCTCTTGAGAGTTTTTAAAAATTTCTTCAAGAACAAAGGTGTTCGAGTAATGGTGAAGGTAGATGGTTTGGGGTTGGGGTGGGAAGGGGAAAGGT